ATTAGATGAATACTAAAGAAAAATTTATCAAGCTCCGTTAAATGTTCATACTGTCAATTATTTTCTTCCTTTTTTTTGTGTTTTAATTGATTGATGATCATTGCAAGCCATATTAGCATCTTTAAACGGAATCGATAGAGAAACCTTTGAGTTATTTCTCTCCTTCGTTCATTGCTTATCAATGGTTCTGTTTATATTTGTGTTTCATTTTAATCAAAAACTCAAGATTAATTTATTGACCAACGAAGCAACAGTGCTACACAGTGCTGCAAATAGTACACGAAGTTCTTTATATCCAAAATTGAACAAATCAATGAGACTCTTTGAATTTTAGCGAAGAATTCCAAAAGTGATTGTTCAATGATACAATGCATTGGATTTCATTGAAATTCAATCAAATGATTCTTACAGTGTTCTTCTTTATTAGAGTTGCGTTAATAATTGTTCGTCGTGCAGAAGAATGTTATCTTCGATTTCTCTGTCAGTGAAATAGATTGATTATCGACGAGACATGTCAACATCGAATCTCTTCATTTTTGATGAAATTCAAAATTGTTTTCTTTTTTTATTTCTTTGGATTAAATGAAGTCCTTGCCTATTTGATACCTTCTCAATTGATAATTGGAGTTTACCAAATACTAATTGTCCATCAATGACAATGATTCATTTTGAAAATTATTCATACATTAATCTGTTTCTCTTTCTTTCAATCACATTCGACAAAAAGTTTCTTAGAAAGTCTTTCTTACAAACTTTTATAGAAATATTCATTTAGAAAAATCAAAATTGATCTATTTAAATGTTTGGTGAAAACTATCAGAAGCAACAAATTTTTAAGCGTCACTTACAACATCTGTGAAATCTTTTTGTGATTTATCAAGCCGCATGTTTATTTATTTGAATTCATTTATTCGATCGATCTCAGACTTTTGTAAAAATCGTATATAGTAACCATGTCATTGCAGTAGTTTTGACATGAAATGATTGTTGAGTATCCTATGCTATTCACTTTTTATTAGATGGCAATCCTTTGTTTTATTCCATATAATTGTGATATGAGTAACAAGTCACTGCCAGTTAAATCACAAATATCTTGATTTGAGCGATAAAAAAACAATATGAAGTACTTATTTCTTTGTAATAGATTTGCGCTCGTCACAGAAAAATATTTTAATTTCAAGATAACTCTTATCTAAGAGTGGACGAATTTTTTAGCTTATTCTCATCTCTATGGTGCATAATACTGATTAAAAATATGAACGTAGGAATGAATTTTGTGTCGAATTCCAAAATTGATTGAAACGCCATAACCAATTGAAACGAATCCTCTTGAAATAAATCATAATAGGAAACCATTCTTGATGAACACTCATGAGCTACAAATACCATAGTCAAAACATATTTGTATCTATTTCGTAATTTTTAGAATTGTACGTGTTCACGCTTTCGATTACAAATTGAAGTGCATCTTTTTTCGAAATAGAATATGATACGAAAAATAGAAGATAAGAAATTATTATTTCGAAATATCATTTGTTTGATTTCTCAATGATAATTCATGAAGAAAGCAACATGTTCTGTCTTGGCGTATTGTGCGGTGTCTTGTGCAATGAATGTAATTTAAATTTAAATTACGACATATCCTCAGATTTTCCTTTTAGTCTAGTCATGGGAAAAAAAAGAATTGACAGTGTAAATTGCACATTTTCGTATTTCTTATCAGCGATTCATCGTGTACTGTCATGACAGGTGTTTGTTTCGATACAGTTACCGATCGTGTCTTGTATGTGACAATACATAAAAGCAAAATGTAAACTTCATGATCAAGTTATTCTTGTACAATAGTGATACCTTATCTGGAGAGTGTTACTGCGAGGAAAGGTAGTTGCAAGTTGAAAACTAGCATTCAATTTTCGCGGCACTGGATCAGTTGCCGCAATTTTTGCTGTTTCTTTGTAAGTGTTCTATCAAATCAATCAGAAAAGACATTATCACAGGATTTGGATGTGAGAGCTTGTAATGTCTTTTTATTATGAATATCTGTCTTATCTGTATTATAGTACAAGAATGTCAGATTATTTTCATGATAAAGAGAAATCTTCAATGAAGGAAATCAATCTCGAACGACTGACAAGTATCTTGGAACGTTGTCGGCTTTTTTTGCAATGACATTTTTTTTGGGAATATTAAAGACTACTTCAAAAAACGATTCAAAATATAAGTAAAGATCTTTGTTTTTCAGAATATCAAACAACTTCAAAATGTTGTCAGCCATTCTGCTATGAAAAAACTAGTTTTTTTAAATTTATTGTACATTGAAAGAGAGGCCAAGCACAAATGCTCGAACCACTACCCAAAATGTTCTATTCTCGCTAATTTTAGTGCTGTTCATCTACAATAACAGAGCTTTCATCGAGGCTTCTTTGATTTTTTTGTGAGTGTTGGGTGAGCGTGACACTTCACTTCAAACAAATACATCTTTCGGGTATCAACCATCCCACGCTAATCTATAGCTGGTTCGTGTCGATAGTGTTTTACTTTTTAGTATTTCCGAACTGATTACTTGGAGTCTTATCTTTTGTAAGTAGCGATATTCGACGGCTTATAACACAACTCCGTCGTCTGCTCTAGAGCAGAACTTTCTATCGCTTCATACTATTTTCCATTCATCTTCGAGTAAGACTACTAAAATTATAAATAAATATATCCTGGCTAGACTCGTTTGAACGGTACTTTCATGTTTAGTACACAAGCATCTTCCATTTCAATTTTGCATTAGCTCATCAATCTATGTGTTTATTAATGTTTTTTTTTCCACTTCTTCCTACTCAATACTTCGTGTTTTATTTGAATAATAAATTTATTTCAGTGAAGAAATGAGGACCTATTGATGGTAATAATTCGCTTCGTGTCATTAATAAAATTTCTTCATATGGCCCAATGAAAACCGAATGAGATGAAGCATGTTTTTTCGCATTGTTTTCAAAACGAGTATTGAGTTTTGAAATTTTTGCTTCATTCTTTCTCCTTGAAATGTAAACAGTCTGACATAATTAATTAATACAACATGTAATGCATTCATTGCAGATTCTTTGTATGATGAGAGAGTGGTGGAAAAACGGTCAGCACAGTCTCCTATTCTTCGATGTTGACAAGGTTTCTTTATTTTTATTGCTTTACAATAAGAAACACTAATGTAAACACTCGTCTAATAAAAATGTCCCAAAGAATAGAGAACACTTCAATTTCAGTCAATCTCTTTTGTCATACCAAAGCAAACTTACACTTTAATCAATATAATAAATATGGTTCGAACTATTCATGTGGTCTGTGTTCCAAGAAAGGCTTTATTTATGAAACAATCTCAGGTACTTATAGGCTTAGATATACTATCGAAGTGTTAAGATGGTTTATCTTTCATTGAACGAATCACAGAAACTTATTATATCTTTCATAGGTAAAGCCTCAACATACGAAGAAAAAGCAGGAGAATCATCATGTCTCTACCTGAATGAGTCCATCGCAAGTGGTAACACCTTCCATCGACGATCATTCTTCATGTGCAACGCCATCAAATATGAATCGCAGCAACCCATCATTCAAGAAGTTGGACAAGTGAGTAATTATGATAAAATCAATCTCTATTCATGAATCGATGTACTATGTGAAACTATTTCTAAGCTCTATTGTTATAGGATGATGAAGAAAGGTACTGGCAAGACTAAAATGAATTGTCGTCCATTGTTGACTCTCGCTCTTTCGATCATTATAATGTTGGTGTTAGCAGTCATAGCAACTGCCGTATTTGGAATCGTGACTTTATTGATAAAGCAAACAGTAACTACGAGTACTGGTTTAAGTAAGGAGAATTAGGCAGTCGAAAGCTAGAGCATATTGAATTCAAAAATTGAATCATTTTTTTCCGAAATTCGTTTACTTGTTTTTTCTTTCTGGTGCGTCAGGCAATCATTACCTCAACGAAAAGAAATTTTCGATGAGCCAATACTAATGCGAACATCTTTGATTTTGGAAGAAAACTATGTCTTTAAGTAGAATTCTCATTGAAATTCAATCGATATTTCGAAAACTTGATTCATGAATGTTGCAATTTGGTTTCTATGAAAGCTGCTTTACACAGTCAAAATTCGTTAGAAATGATTTGAATCACATAACCATTCACTCTGTGCGCATTATGCGAAGAGTTTCGAATAGTATAATTTTTCTATGGCTGATTTTTCACAACAACCTTCATGACATGAAATTCTCATTCTTAATTATTCAAAATTTGAATAATTAAGAAATCAAACTTTGTTGCCTTTATGCTTTTTGTTTTTCCTTGTATTCGAATCATAAAAATTATAAATGCATTAGGATCTATAAACACTACTACAATGACTACAGTGGCAAGTACCATAACTACTTCAAGTATGTTTGACTGGCCTCACAGTTCTTTTTTCTGATATCGTTTCAATTTTTCTATTTAGCCACAAGCACAACAACTACGAGTATGTTTGATTGGTATTCATAATTCTCTTTCCTCACATCGGAGGCGCAGGCATCAGTGAGAGGTGTGGGTATAGTGTACGTGTGATTTGGGCTCTAGGATGTGGGTGAGTGTGAGAGTAGGGTTGCGCACCTCTTCTTAACTCATACTTACATCCACACTCATCCTCAGAATAATTGTTTCCTTTGCTGAGCAGAGATGAAACAATTCATAGATCATTGTGTCAAAAAGTAACCTTTTATCGTCATGAGAACGTAGATCTCTGTCTATTTTTTCATTGTGAAATACCTTTTGAGGAATAGTCCTATATCTTCTGGACTATGTTAACATATCCGATATGATCATTTATCTATTCTTATTTCACATATATCTTATTATGTTTCCGCGATGCACAACTTTTATTTGATTTATCTTTTATTTTTATGCTTATATTCGTTTTACAGGCTTAACATCAATCCTTTCCACTAATGATACTATCCATCCCATATATAATACAATGGCTGGCAGCAATAGCACCGCATCTACAAGTGGTTCTGGTATTGGACAATATCCTTCGACACAGGGCGCCCAAAATATATGCAATGCTAACCTAACCGATAAATATCTAAATTTTGGTCCATGTACTAATTCGAATAATGCGACTAACTGTGGCTTGAACACAGGTTTCTATGTTACGCCACACCAAGGTGCAACATTGATCATAAGTATACAAATTTGTACCGGTGACGATAATCCACCACGGGATCCCATAACAATAATAATTGAAGGAAGTAACAGCTCTGGAGCATTTCTCCCTATTGGTTCCAGTTGGACTTTGATTTATAATGGAACAAGTGGTCTTGATGTTGATCCAGGTAGAAACACTTGTGGAACACGACTGTCCATTTCGAACTCGATTCAATATACTAGCTATCGATTTCTTGTCACTAGCAAACGTAGTTTTCAGAACTCGGTCCAGTACTCTGAAGTATTGCTTTACAAATAGCATCATCATTTCAATGTTACGCATTTTATTAATTACAGTTTTCAATACGGACACATGTTAAAATATAGTTTTTGTTTTATTGTGTCTCCTTATAAATCGAAAAAAGTGTGTCAATTCGAATAAAACAATTTTTTCATTATAGACGTCATTTTTAGCTGAATATGCCAGGTTAGTATTGGGTAACAATGAATAAATAAGCGCGACAAAAATCAGGATTTCATTTGTAAAGAAATTAGGCAGCTGATTCAAGCCATGAATGGCTCGAAAAGAACTACAATATTCTTGTTTTTCAATATTCTTCTATTCTTCAGACTTCATCGAATTAATTGCTTATGCAATTTTCTATAAGGTTATATGAAACTATTTTTTTTGTAATGTACCAATAGAAAAATCCGTACGATATTTTGAAAATCATGAAAATCTTGAAGCTATAAAGTTGTATAAAACTTTTGGTTTTTGAATAATGCTAAAATAGTCAGACGGGTATCCGAAAAAATTTCCCAACACATTTCTCGATCACATATATAGCCATGAAAAACATTGAATATATGTGTGGACAAAATGACTCATTAAGTAAAGAGCATAGCACGAATAAATAAATCAAATAGTATGAGAAAGACTGCAACCAGTCTAATTTATATGAGAAGGACATGAACAAATTTTTTTTGTTAAACAATCAATAGAACTTTTACTAACAAACATTTATTTTGTAGCGTTTATTTTTAAATTTGACTTCTTTAGTTTATTCAATAGGCTCCAATGATTTTTAATTACTAATATGTTAAAATAATTTACATATACATATTCATGTGAGTAAAATTTGTCAACTGTATCTAATTGACTGAATAGAGAATGTGACTGCGATAAAAAGAAAACCATCATGCACACGGCACACACTCAAATTTCGAAGGTTAGTTTGTTTCGAACAGTATTTTTAAATTGAAAAATCAATCGAATGAATTAGTTGAATATGAGAATGATGTTGAAATAATTTAAGATTATGGTTTAATGATAGATAGTTCATTTTTTTGTAGTAGTAATATGACAGTTGTTTACATTTTTGAGTGCCATTGATAATGAACTTTTCTGTTGTTATTTTTTTTATTTAATATATCATACAAATTGGAGAATTTTCGAAAAATAAGTTTTATATAGCTTCATATTCTTCATTGTCAGAAATAAGAAAAAATAAAATCAGTTTATAATGAGTGCAAGAAGAGAGAAGGTTTATTATTTAGCACAAGTCCTTCTCACTTCTGTTCTCATTCGAAACAAACTTATGTAAGATATATATGCAACTGAGCCTACTCAGTTACCTTCAATTTTCATTTTACTTCAAACAATCCAAATGTATTCATATCGAAAGAAAAGCTTTGAAATCAATACACGATACAATATTATTTCAAAAGGTTATTATTTTTTTTCTATCAATTTATTGTTAATACCTCCTTTTTTTCCAATCGAACAGAGGACGATACCATGCATGTAACTATTGATTTTGCTGTAAAACTATCTCTCAAGTAATCATCCTTCTTCAAATAAACGTGGGATGGTAAATATGAAATATTAAATCAGATATAAAATATGAGCGCTTTCAGTTTGAAAAAAAGTATTTTTTTTTTATTCATTGGCAGAGATAAGTAGATATATTTCGTTATGGACATGTTAAAATTTGTTGATGTTTTTCTTCTTACAGTTAAGAGAAAGAATGTTTAAAGTGACATTTCTTTTGTTCGTTACCTTCTTAAATCTGTCAAGCGCAAGTAAGAAAACATTTTCATGATCTTGATACTTTATTCTTAATCTTTATTTTCACTAACTAATGTGAAACAGTTAGAAATGATTTCAACTCAAAATAACGAAGTATTTCTCATATTTAAACATTGTCTATTTTTGTTGTGTTGTCATAGGAGATTGTAGTGATCTATATGGACAATGTGATGGAATCAACTGGACAGGTCCTAAACAATGTTGTGGTGAATCAAAATGTATTTTTCAGAACAATTATTATTCACAATGCCTTCCATCATCTGGAGGATCAGGATCTTCTAGCAATACACCTCATCCAGAAACAACACCATCACCATCGAATACTGGTCGAAAAAATGGTGTAACAACTCGTTATTGGGATTGTTGTAAAGCAAGTTGTGGTTGGGCAGGTAAAGCATCTGTTACAAATCCAGTAAAAACATGTGTACGAAATGGTATTACACAAGTCGATGTTAATGCTCAATCAGGTTGTAATGGTGGTAGTGCCTATATGTGTAATAATCAACAACCATGGAATGTTAGTTCTACTCTTTCATATGGTTATGCTGCTGCATATATAACTGTACGATATTGTTTGTTTTGTTAATGGTATATGAATTTATGATTTGTAAAATAGGGTCAAAGAGAATCAGATTGGTGTTGTGCTTGTTATTCATTAATATTTACAACAGGTTCTGTTGCTGGCAAAGAATTAATTGTACAAGTAACAAATACAGGTGGTGATCTTGGTGAAAATCATTTTGATCTTCAAATGCCTGGTGGTGGAGTAGGTATTTTCGATGGATGTTCAAGTCAATTTCCTGACGTAAGTAAACCTTTATGGGGTCAACAATATGGTGGTATTAGTCAACGATCACAATGTAACAATTTACCAGCCGTTTTACGATCTGGTTGCTTTTGGAGATTTGATTGGTTTCAGAATGCTGATAATCCAAAAATGACTTTCAAAGAAGTTCCATGTCCAGCTGCTCTTACAGCAAATACACAATGTGTTCGAAGATAGAATACAACAAAAAAACAACGAATATGATTAAACGTGAAAGATGTTTATTGTTTCTTTCATTTTTATTTTTATTTTGCGCGATTTTTCTCGTGAAATTTGAATAAAACAAGTAAAAGATACTTCATTTTTAGTAGCATCAAACTTAAAAGTTAAATTCAAGTATTGAATTCTTCAACAAACAAAAGAGATGTCCTATGTACGTGTTTTCGTGATAATGAGAGACAATTTATACCAACAAAATTTATCACTCCTTAGAGCAAATCCTACGAGAAATTATACAAGATACTAATTGAATTGTTAAATTTATATAAAACAAAAACAAACAATGATACTAGATCAAATAAAAAAAAGTATTAACAATTATTTATGAGTACAAAACAAAAAAGAAATATACACATCTGATTGATTTTTTTTCAAAATTTGGTTATGATCTCTTGCTCAACAGTTACCGTTGGTTTTTTTCTTAATTCTCGTATATATTTCCACCATAGTTGAATTAGATGACATGACATCAATATGACAAGTGCCAATATAATCAACCATGCCTAATATTAAAGAAAATAATAATTCTATGAAATAATTATAAATGACATAATAAAAAATAACTTACTCTCCATGAACGAGATATATCATCTGTTAATTCGACTAAACCATATTGAACAGTGGCAATAACACCGACTGAAGTCCACATAACACCAGTTAATGTACCAATATATTCTGATGGAAAACTAAACACAGAGGCAAATAAATATTTATAAGAAGGAAAAAGAAACTTCAACAAATTTTCCTAACATAGAGTTTTTAACAAATCTATAAAACTCTTTTTTTTTTTCGTTTCTTCCTAAGTAAGACTTACAATGTTGCTACGACTGCTTGACTTCCACCGACAATTGTAGCTCGTGCAAAACAATTGATTACTAATGCTGGAATAATCATACTCGTTTGTGCAAACATACATACAATACATGCAACAATATTTATAAGCCATGATACAGTTTGCATTACTGATATATTAAATAATTTTTGTTTCTTACCTAAATAATAAAAATTTTAAAGTCAATATTACAAAAATTAAAAATTTACTTTTATCAGCTTTAAATCCAAGTAGAAAACCATTAACTGGACAAATAAGAATAGCAGAAATAGTGGATAAATTAAATGCAAATGTATATTTATTAGCTAAAATATAGAAAATAATTATGGAATGAAAGATTTTTTTTTGTGATGAATCGTGCTGTTCTTTTTTTCTTTTTATTACATAAATATTTATCATATTATGAAAAGTCTATTCCAATTAAAAAGATATTAATTACTTACTCAATATAGTATCTTGTTTTGTGATATAATATACCCATGGATACCATGTTACAGCAAGAAATATTCCTGGTAATAATAGAATACTTAAAAATAATACCACCAACACATATAATGGACTTGTTAAATGATGCCAAACACCTTTTCGTTTCAAAATTCGTGTATACCATTTCATTTTATCTATTTCATTGTTGTTTGATGAAGAATTTTCATCTAAACAAAAAAGCAATACATGAATATGATAGAAATAATTATTTTTATTCAATTGACTTACTAGTAGTGTTACTTGAAGGAATCTTTTTTTTCTCTAATTTTGTATCAAATTGATAGGGTAAATTAAGAATAGGAAATCTCCAATCCAGAAATATGAATGAACTAATTAACATGAGTATACCAAATGACATCCAAATGTAAGACAGTTGTTGTAATGTGATTTTTCCTGCATCAATTAAAACCTAAAAGAAAAAACAACGTAAATTGCACTTTTCTATGGATTAGAAAAAAATGGTTTTATTGTAATCCTTTTGGGATTAAACTGTAAAACATGATGATTTGGATGTGAATGAAGAGAAACGAGACATTCATATTCGAACGAAAAAAGTCCACTCTTTGACTTAATTCATTTTTTTCTCTTGCTATACAATATAATAACTATGGTGAGAAATCTACTTTCAAACAGTCCTGTATATAAGAAGCGGAACTCCCGCAGTGACTACTTTCATAATGACTTTCACAAACAATTTACTAGTGACATACTTGAAATATCGAATACCACATTGTAGCTGATGTACAAGCTCCAGCAAATAATGCTGCAACGAATGCTCTTGATTTTGAAAAATAATCACTTGATGTATAAGCTGTCAATAACAACATAATACCGGCTAGTGATGAAAAACTTGTATGAGCATATAAAAATGCATCTCGTCCTCAAAAATAAAAATAAACAATATTGACTATCAATCATAATTATATCTTCACACTTACCAGGTGCAACTAGTGCTAAAGCTAACCATCCGATAAGATGAAAAATTCTAAAAACAAGATTGTAAAAAACGAAAATAGAAAAAAAGGCGTAGTTACATAGCAATTAATTTAACAAATCGACATCCAAATCGATCAATCAATGGACCAATAATTAATGATGGAATTTCAAATAAAATAATACCCAATGTTAATGCATTCTAATTGACAAATAGACGAAATATATGAATGATTGGATATTTAAACGTACCTGATATTGTCGTATTTGATGTCCTTCACAAGATAAAGCTCCATTTTCGGTTTGTGTTCCATTGACAAACGAAGATGAACAATTATTTTGATTACCATAAATTCCATATTGAGTTAAAATTTTAAATAAAGCTGGAAATCCAAATATTGTACCACCAATTAAATTGACTTCAATTACAAGCCATATCAAACCAAACCATTTTCGAACTGAATGATGAGCTTGTTTTTCCTGAGTATTTATTTTAACAAGAATAGTCATATTGATAAGAAACTAAATAAAACAGAATTCGATTCAGTATATTGAATAGAGGAAGAAGAAGGAAAAAAATATCTCAGATCGAACTTTGAATATTCTGAAAAGGTATCTTGTCAACCGTGTTTATTTCAATTTAATTTAAAAAAGAGTCAATAAGTCATTTTAGATAATGAAATTACTTTGCAATTGCAAGTTGGAATGATGTTGAATGTTGCTTTTCGTCATAGATTTTTTTCAAATATATATATGCAAACAAGTTCCTCGTTCATGATTGGATTCTTCCAATTACTACGTGATCTGTCTCATCATTAACTTGCGTAGAAACGTGACTCACGTGTTCCTTTTTACGATAAATTATTAATAGCGGAGGTGTATCGATACAGTCAAAAGCAGAAGAAGAAATATACCTTTTTGATGACGACATATCATGATTATTTCTGTACTGACACACACAGTACCATCATAGGACTAATGGCTTGTGACTATTTTCAAAAAAGTCATGATATTTCCGACTTCCGTTTAATGTCCTACGCAAGCGAATTGGTCATTATGATTACTCAATGCAAAAAAAATTTCTATAAAAGCATGTTGAAAAACAGATTTTCTTTATCATACAAGAGCAATCAGTACAAGACATAAGCTATTATAAGATACTTATAATATTCATTTACTCACAGGTACAGTTTAGTAGTTATCTTAATCTAAAGCACTTGCTCACCTATGTTTGTGAAGAAAAAGAAATAAAAGCATCTATGTTTGTTCTTCTCTTAGAAAGATAACGAAAAACAAAAAAATGGTTCATAAACGAAAATTTAGTTTAAATCTCGACCATGTACAACAACAAGAAGGTTCAGAAAATCCATCAACACCATCAATATTAACTCCATCAAAAGCAAAACATTTTCGTCGACAATTCAGTGAACAAAATTTTGGTAAGTCTATCAAATGTAGAGAATTGAAAAGGATGTCTTTCATTTCGTCCTATTGTTCATATTGTTAAGTTATCGTAAAAATGTCGATGGTCTCCACTAATTTTTCATTGTTGGATAGTCCTATGGTGATGTGAATGTGGGTGCATAGAAAAATCACGACCACTAAAAAGTTAATTTTCTGATATCCATTTGAAGCTTTTTGAAAATGATTTTATTTGATTGAGCAAAATGAACTATCTCGACACTTCTCATAAAATTCCTTCATTCAACTATAGAAGGTTCAAGAAGTATTTGTTTTGTTTGTATGAAAAACTTTATTCGAAACATTCTCATTCAAACAGTTTTATTTGAGAGGTTAGGTCTAACAAATCTGATCGAAAGTTCTTTCGGCTGTTCAAATGTATTTTGATATGCTTTCTAACTATTACCATTGAGAAGAAAACTCAGAAATATAACTGCTCTACACTCATAATAACCATGATAGAATCGCAATGCTTTCTCGACCGAATTTATGGAAAAATGATATCGAGTTCATGTTGTTTTATTCATCTTATTCGACCTCTTGATCAAGTTTTTCACAAATTTCAAGAATATTTGAATTTGTTTTCTTTTTTTTTAGACGAAGATGTCCTAATCAATCGTGTTGATGATGAAGAAAAATACCAACAAAAACCCTTGTTATTTATTAATAATGTTGAAAAGTTACCGTATAAAATAGCTGATATCAATCTAGTAGAATCGGGTCGAAAAACATTGTCAATGGCTGAAGCTGAAATGCCAGGAGTCATGCGATTAAGAAAAATCTATGCTTCCAAAAAACCATTGCAAGGTGTTCGTCTTGCCGGATGTTTACATTTAACAGCACAAACTGGCGTGATGATCGAAACGTTTCGTGCATTAGGTGCAGAAGTAAATAAATTCTATCTAATTCTCGTTTTCTTCAGATTCCTCACGGATGATTCTTATCTTCTAGGTTCAATGGAGTTCTTGTAATCCATTGTCAACACAAGATGATGTTGCAGCTGCACTTGTTAAAGCTGGTATACCAATTTATGCATGGAAAGGTGAAACCGAAGAAGAAAAATTATGGTGTATAGATATGGTAAATAGAGAAAATTTATATGAATATTGATCTTGACGAATACTAGTTGAAAATTCTTTTCGAAAATCATCTGAGAAAAGTGAAAGAAAAGTAACTTTACCCTTAAAGCAAGAAGATGTCTCTCAAAAATTCGATTTTTTTCTTTGAAAAGTTTATCAGATAGAATCAATGTTTTTATTTTCTAGACAGTCTATTTTGCTGATGGTCAACCATTGAATGCCATTTTGGATGATGGTTTTAATTTAGCTCGAATTATACATGAAAAATATCCACATTTGACAAGTGTTATACATGGTTCTAGTGAAGAAACAACAGCTGGTATAACAAAATTACGTAAATTTTTCAAAGCAAATAAATTAAAAATTCCAGTAATTAATGTCAATGAAAGTGTAACAAAATCAAAATTTGATAATAATTATGGATGTGGTGAAAGTTTGATTGATGGAATTAAACGAGCAACAGATGTAATGATTGGAGGAAAAGTAGCCGTAATTGTTGGATATGGTCATGTTGGCAAAGGATGTGCTAAAGCATTGAGTGGGTTTGGTGCTCGAATTATTATAACTGAGATTGATCCAATTTGTGCTTTACAAGCAGCAATGGATGGTGGGTTATTCACATATCAATAATGCTTTATTGATAATCAATGATAATTTATTTTTTTTTTGTAGGTTATCAAGTAATGACAATGACTGAAGCATGTAAAATAGGGCAAATATTTGTATCAGCAACTGGTTCAACAGGCTTAATTCGTGGTGAACATATGATGGAAATGCGTGATATGGCTATTTTATGTAATATTGGTTCAGGTCAGACAGAAATTGATGTTGTTTGGTTAAAAGCAAATGCAATAAAAATTGAAAATGTCAAACCACATGTTTGTTTCATTTAATTTAAAGTGTAATATTTGTCTAATTAATTCTATGTTTTCTTTAAGGTTGATATTTATCATTTACCAAGTGGACGAGCTGTTATTCTACCAGCTGATGGTCGTGTTGTTAATCTTTGTAAGTTTTATTCATATGAATAATAATAATAAAATAGCTTTGTTTATTATTTAGCTTGTGCACACGGAAATCCAAGTTTTGTAATGAGTAACTCATTTTCAAATCAAATCTTAGCACAAATTGAATTGTTTACAAAGAAAGGTCAATATTCGATTGGAATTCATACACTTCCAAAAGTTGTAAGCATTCTCTCTCATACTCATTTTGAGAGTATCTTTTTGCCATTGAAATATTATGGAGAAACGAATTTTTTTTCAATAATTAAATTTAAATATAAAATTTTTTAAATCGAGTAAAATATTTTCTTTCTAGTTGGATGAAGAAGTGGCCATGGCACATTTGGATTATTTGGATGTCAAATTAGATAAACTGACGCCAACACAATCCACATATGTCGATTTACAACCATGTGGTCCATTTAAACCTGATTATTATCGTTATTGAACATGGATTCATCATCAATATGCGTTTTTCTTTATAGAACAGATGTAGATCGCAGCTCAATGCTCGACTTGTTTTATTCGGTGTGCTTTATTTTATACATATTATTGTTAATAAGAAAAACCAGAAAAAAGAAAATTGAATCTTTTTTTTTCTTTTTTACTTACATAGTTATTCTTTATGATAATTGATTTTCTTTTGTTTTTGTTACAGATTATCATATATAATATAGATCAGTAGCTAACGTGTTGTCATCAAAATGGAAAAGATGACAATGTTAATTACTATTATGATTTTGGATGTCTTGTGGAACATAAAATTAACTAGTCAGATACCAATGCAAAGTATGAATAATCATCAATTTACAGCATTTTCTCCTACTGCAGTCCATCAATATCGACGAAGATCAGGTAAATTAAACTATAAAATGACAATTAATCGAATATAACAATGTTTCTATTCATGTTTCATTTGTTTTAGTTCCTACAATCATTACTGATGATCATATAAGTGGTATATTAAAGAAGCTTGGTAAATATATCTTTTTGTCTTTTGAAGACTATTGAATCTCTGCTGGTCTTTGTCTAGGTTCATCAAAAGAAGTCCTGACAACAGAACAATCTTCTACAATTACCTTTCCAACAGAAACATCATCTACAGTTGCCTCGGCAACAGAACAATCATCTACAGTTGCCTCGGCAACAGAACAATCATCTACAGTTACCTCTACAACAGAATTTTCTACATCAACAAATCAAACATCTTCTGTTCCTCTATTTCAAACGAAACGTTTACCTATTGATCCTGATGTTGTTGCACCTGATGGTTCACTCGTTCGTAATTTATTAACAACTATTGGCGGTAGTATGGCACAATTTGATCTTCCACCTGGTATGACATCGAATGCTGTTGAACATCGAACTGTTTACGAAATATGGTATTTTCTATCTGGTCAAGGTGAATTTTGGCGAAAACAGAAAGACAGAGAAGAAATTGTAACAGTGGACACTAACATATGTATAACCATCCCAGTTGGTACTCAATTTCAATTTCGTACAATTGGACGAAAACCTCTCGTAGCAGTGGCAATCACAATGCCACCATGGCCAGGAGAAAATGAAGCTATGCCGAGAAAAGGTATTTGGAATGCAAGTTTTATTGGATTGCCGAACTCATCGACAAAATTGCTGAATTCGATCAATCTGTGGATGATTATCTTCACCTTTTCCATAGTAAAGATATTCCAGATTCAATGAGAAATATATGTACTTTTTGTGATATATTGTATCAAAGATATTGTTTTTGTTATATTTTTTTTATAAAGAAAAGCATGGACTATCAATATCTCATGTTCACTTTATTTCAATCATGCTCTGCTTATTAGAAGACTAGAGAAAGGTGTCATAGTTTTATCTCATGAAACAATATGGTGATATATTCTTTTTCTTACTCATTCTCAGACACGATTGAATAACAACGTCAATATTGAGTGGTATCAAAGGAGCGGGAACGTAATGCTTTCAAAACAAAATCTGATCATCTGTCTGAAAATAGTTCAAAAACCAAAAAAGAACTGATGAAAAGGACAATGATCGAAGAAGCCGATCTTGTGATGATTTGATGAAATGAGATCGAAGAGTCGATTACAACTTTTCATTTACTTGTAAAAACAATCTTCGAAAGACATGTTTCATCAGCTCTAAAAAAAGATTTTCTCTTTTAGCGAATGTCGATTCGACTGAAGTGACAAATTCATATTTGTAATTGTCTACATATTTTGTAGGTCCTGATTTTTGTTTTTCTCCAATGATGAATTTCCTTTTCGTATATATTATCGTTGATCTTTTCGTTTGAGAAAAGTAGACTCAGTAGGACTAGAATTTATCACAATGTCTTGTAAAATTCTGCATTAACATATGTAGTGTCTTAGTTGTTTCGGAGAAAACTATTTTTGAAACCACTATGAAAAGAATCATATCATAAGTCCTTAAAACGATTATTAAATAAATGAATGAGGGAATAGAACGTATGTTCCAAATTAGCATGTACTCTTCACTCTATTGTATCTCTACGATCATAATTTATGATCGGTAGTTCACAATTGATTGCCAATATTCTAAATAAGGACGTTGTCCTGAATAGGAATGCACGTGGGATAATTGATGTGAACTTCAAGATCAGAGCGGGTGTCTAAAATAATGTGTTCCATGACTAAGATACAGATCTCGAAGTCTTACCCTTGTCCGATCTACATAGGTACAATATAATTTATTAGGATGGAACCATGTACATTCCATAACAATTATTCTCTTCTTACAGATAATTAGAACTATTTTCCAAATTCGGCAATTGTGCCTAATGAATTGAGAATGCAAAGACTTCTAGAAACACAGGCTTATGGATACAGGTAGATTTGACACTTCTTTTGATAGGAAAAGTGTGTCAAGCTATACGGTCTTAGATGCAATGATATTTTCCGTAAAGAATATTATGTCTTTACTATGCGGATTTATTTAAAGTTTATCGTGTGAAAGTGCAGAAAACCAGACGGAAAATCATTGTATCTTGAAGACTCACGATGGATTCTAACGTCAGCATCATCGATCTATCAAAAGAAAATAGCAACGGCCAAGTTTGATTTGGCGAGAAACAATTTATATCTGATTATACGTTAAATTGAATCATCACTTCTCTAATCATAATTATTAATGGACAGCGTCAAAGGCTTATGAATCGATTTATTATACTAGAAAAACAAATAGAAAATTCGAAATTACTTTAATCTATTTGATTTTCGATGCAAGTGTCTTCGGTAGTATTTAGCAAAAGCTAAATCTCTTTGACAGTCTATATCTATACAAGCATAAATAATTATATCATATTTTTTATTACAGATTCTTCATATTCTAGTTTATTGTCACAATTTAAATTCACAAAATCAAAAAAAGCATATCAAAACACACGAATAATACAAAAAAGGAATAACCTGCAATGAATATAAAAATAAAAGAATAATAATCTATCGAAAACAATGAATAAATAAAATCATGGATTCATAAACGATGATTTGACTTTTTCGATACACGTCGTTTAGTAGAATTCGTTTTTGATCGATGATTGCCATAAACCCTACGCAGATACTGTTTTATAAATAAATTATATTTTCAAAATTATCATCTAAAACAAAATAATAAATACGTACCATTCGCCAAAGAACAAGACTCATTGAAAGTAAACTTATCACAGCTGCTAAGACAATTAAATAAGTCGAAAACCCATATCGAACATATACTGTTGGCAATTGTAATTCAGAACTCATTGAATATGTCCAATGAGATGTAAAAAGAAGTAGACCACCTAATCCAGTAAATATAGCCGAACAATAAAATAACCAAATAGCTTCACGATTATAACAATTTTCTTCATTAGCAAAACCTATTTAAATAATCAACATAAAAATAAATACATATAAAACATGTTTTTTTTACCAGTACAAACTATTCCAATAACAAGACATATTATACCAACAATAGCAAGACCTATAGCAAATAATTCTTTTGTTGTTTATTGTATTTTTCTATGAATTTCTTACCAATAGAAGGTCGAGCAATGGTTTGTATACAACGAGCAGGTCCAAATGATTTATGATTCGGTTGACGAAGATATGTACAAATATCCATTAATCCTGAACTAATCTTAAATATATAACCAGTGGCATTTTCATAATTAATTTTTACATTATCATAAGTCGTTAATGCTGTTAATAATGGTGAATGATAAATAGCTTGAACAGCTTCATAATCTTTCAATGTAACTTTTTCCCATGAACTTTTTAACATCAACAATAAAAATAAAACATTTTCGAATCTCAAAAGAAAAACACAAAAAAAAAAACTTACCAAGTTGAAAACGCAACACTTGCCAAAATAAGAGCAATAAGTTCTAGTACAAGAAAATTATAGCGCAACATTGATATCATAGAATTCATTACAAGAGATCAACGTGCCCACTGCAGGGTTG